AAAAAAAAAGAAAAAAAAGAAAAAAAAGAAAAAAAAGAAAAAAAAGAAAAAAAAGAAAAAAAAGAAAAAAAAGAAAAAAAAGAATAAGAGTTCTGGCCCAGTCAGTGCTCCTCCTCTGTCTTGCATTTCTCACTTGCCATGAGAGACAGATGTAATACTTCCAAAGTTGGTAATACACCAAGCTTTACCACAAAAACATGACACACAAACACATGTGAAACTGAGAAAGCTGCATTATTAAAAGTACTCATTTTCACCTTGCAAAGTCAGTTTAGAACAAGAATTTCCAAGTTATTCAGTCACTACAATGAAGCCTAGGCTTAGGATGACATCCTGCTTTGTCCAGCTCCTAATGCCTAACACTCACTGAGACATACAGAAGATAATAACCTCACAATGTGTGCTTTAACATGAAAATCCTCCTTTCAGCTCTCCTTGTGAATATCTGAGCCACACGCTGGAGAAGAAAAATACCTCCCTAGATCTCAGGTTGGAAAAGGAATACTCTACCGAAGTACATCCACCTCCCTTATGGACAGGTAAAAACCTGTGGCAGAGTTCAGTGCATTTCCTACTACACTGACTGAGAAGCTGGAAGGCAGCAAACGGGAACACCCCAAATCCCACTGATGAACAAGTGAGCATTGCCCTGCAGCCCAGAGATGTTACAAAGGCAAAGCAGGCTATCACGGGAGTTAGACAAGTTTGCAAGTAAATTTTAACTTCATAATTACTACTGCTTTACAAAAATATAAAACTCAGAGAGACATCACTGACTGTAATTGGTAAGACTTATAAGAAAGGAATGAAGGTGCTGTGGCTTCATTTCCAAGGTTTACATACAGCTTTTTAAAGAAATATTATATGTTTTCAATACCTGAAACACTGCAGATTTCAAAGAAAACACCGGGAGCTCATAGCTGCAGGGACACCATCAAGCAAGGGCTACAATTGCACATCAGGAAGTAGTTCACTTTTTAATGCCCAAGTATGATGTGTCCACATGTGAAGAGCTATCTGCTGCAGCACCTCACACCCACACTGCAAGCAGGGTGTTTCTGACAGCTTCCATCTTGGTCCTACGTGTAGGGAAACTATCTGTGGTGTACTATGAGCTTCAAGTACAGGTACAGGATCTGCATGACAGAGAGCCCCTCCTGTGCACTTTCATCACAACTGCTATCACCCTCAGTTTAACACCTTGGTAGATCTCCTCTGGTTTTGGCAAGAATAAGGTACATTATCTGTATTGCATAGATGGGTATCAATTACAAATCACACAACATACTTTCAAATTCTCTTTATAAGAAGTTAGACGCTGCTGCTGCCTTCCTGATGGTACCTGGAAAAGTAACCTAAGCTCTTAGACAAACTTCTTCATTATTAATATTTTTAATTTTCCAAGTTCAGTGCCAAACCTGAACAGAGACCTGAAAAAAAAGGCTTAAGAGAATAGGTCCAGTCTGGCTCATCTGTTTCTTCCATATGTGGGTTTAAAAAGGAAAGACTTTCAAGAAGTTATAAATGGCCATTTTTGTGGCTTACCAGGTCTTGAGCTATGCCACACCCGGGCTCAAGCCATGTTAACTCCTGAGACTAGGCAAAGCAGGGAACTGCCACAATGCAAAGACAACTCAGCAGTGTTTAACAGCATATCCAAACCTCTTCCACCTGTCACAGGATCTTTTCCCTTGTCAACAATATAGTAAAAGTCCTGCGCCGATTTGGGGACTCTCCAATTGTAGCGAAATCCACTCAAGAAGCACTCATCTTTCAAATAAGTAACCTTGTTCCTTCCCTGCGCCTTCCTCCACACAACCTATCCCCTAGAAAGGCAACGTTTGCTCCCCCCGTGACAGTTTCTCTTCATGATTCAAAACTGGAGCACACAAAGCAAGGTTCGGGAAGAACCTCAAATAAACCACTGCAAGAACTCTTTATTGCTTAATCTCCTGTGTGATCAACTGACCTAAGTATGCTGTACCTCCTAAGACTCCTTGTCTACTTTCTTTGCACTGAACATCACTAGCTGAAAATGAGGCCAGGGATATTGCAGAGAAAAATACATGATTAATGCTGCATGGATTGCTAGCCTTGATGGCAAAATATAAATTACATGAAAATTCCCTTGTGAAACAGTAAGTACCATAGAAGACCATGTGGCCAGATTCTGATCTGGTCTGAGCAGATACAATTCGGTGGTTATGAAGACACACATATTAGGGCTTAATTACATCAGGACTGCAGCTACCCCAAGGTGGTGATTAGCTGCTTCTCAGACTTCTTATCACCTCTTTCCACCACCAACCCCTCTTAAAATTCTTCTCAAGCTTGCCAGCTTTGAGACAAAACAAAAATGAAAACAAAAAATAAAACCCGCACAAATGCTCACTGCTCACCCATTTCCTTGAATTCTTCATTGGCAAGTTGCAGCCATGCCACATCCACGTCACTGAGGTCGTAGCGGCACACGCTGTCAGCTAACGTGCGAATGTCAACATAACCCAGCTCTGGAGGCTTCGTGCCTGATGAAGAAATATACTTGCGGGGACGTGTAAATGTGACAGCTTTTGTCTCAGACACAATCCTAAAACAAAGAGACAAGCACACACTAGATTGGTGGGGTGCTGAACAACCCATTTCTAAAGAATTCCCAATGCCTCATTCTAAGTGGCTAACAATCAACAGCAATCTTCTAAGCCTATCTTGCACCACTGAGAAAGGAACAGAAAACAGAATGTAACAATTTTGTAAAGGATTTGCAATATTATTAGAAATTAACTGGAGTTGATTAGAAATCCATTTTGTTTCCAGAACTATAAATGCAGTGAAAACTCTGGAAGACAGAACTCAGCTACTCTTACCTGAAATTCATGCTCCTTTAAAGCTAGAGTAGATGCTGTATTTATGTAGTAGTGGTTGCCATATACATGTGTTAAACTGTTTCAGGACTTCAAAATCCATTTGCTAACTACCAACCAACTACAAATAAAGACATTAATTTCCATGGTATATTGCTTCTTGGGTGTTTGGGATGTGTGTGTAGCAACAGCATCGCCATCTTTTTGAAATTCTGAAGAACTTTCCTCAGAGAATCAGCAATTCGCAACAGCCTTCCCTTCACTTACCCAAGTAGATCCAAGCTCTGGCATCCTGGCTCTGCATTTCCTCTTTCACAGTCACTAATCCCATGCTGCACGAAACCCTTTTCTGCAAGTATTAAGCAGTAGCCACTGAATCCTATCTCCCCTGAGGATCTGGAGGCTCCAGTTGACCAACAAATAAAACATGTGAGTGTATCTGAGCTGCAAGCCAACTGAAATTTTGCTTAACAGCACGTATTGGTTCTGGAGACAGGAAAATACCTACAGCACATAACTTATTTTACATCAGATTCCTGAAGTACTGCAATTTCACAAAGTCAGGAGCAGTGGGCAAAAACGCCATTTGCAAAGGACAGTAGCTGTTCTTCCAGCAAGCTGTAGATTTGCCTCCTAACTTCCAGGCAACTCTGTCAGTTCAGCCACAACGTGGTCCTCCCAGCAGAGGATGCTGCACCTTCTCTAAGTTATATGCACATACCAAAATAAATTCCTCATGCAGCACTGGTATTGAGGACCTCCTCTGTACTCCAGTCCTACATGAGAGACGGCAACAAGGTGCAGTCAGAGCTTTCTGCTGACAACAGCCTAAGCTTCACAGCAAGGAGGATGTCCTTTTGCTCCTCTATTTTGCTCCCAGCTGTGGCCCTTACAGTAGAAAGATCTCCTGCTCTGCGATCAGTCTATCTGCACATACAGATCTCTATGAACTCTCTACCTATTTCAGTCTCCTGCAAAGCCCTAATTCTTCCCCCCACCTAGTTTAATTCAGATAATAAATCTGAGAAATCACAGACACGAGCCCCGTGCTGAATTCTGAGCTTATATGGTGCAGAAGGGATTTGTGGCAGAATAAGAACCTGAATGATTTTGCCAGGCTAACAGCATTGCCAGGACTATCCCTGGTTATACTCTGCAGTATTAAAATATTACAAGCTACTACATCTGATGGAGAATTTATTTTAAACTAAGTACTGCTCATTGAATCTTCTGTACCATAAATTCCTTCCTGAGTACCTCTCTACACCAAAATTACAACCTCTGGGCAGCATGCTGCACATATCAACTAGATGACACTGTAGTGGCACAAAAGAAACAAGCAAAGGTAATTTGGCCTTAAAACAGACCACCTTCATCTCTTTATTTTTGTGGAAGGAAGAACTAGAAAAGTTGTGACATACCTAAAGGATACTGAAATTAATCTTGTGTCTCAGCACATGCATGCACTGAAGCCCCACATGTTCTCGCTTCTCTTACCACCCTGACCAAACTCTGTGCTGTATTTTCCTTCTGTTCTGCACCAGGTACTGTTTGACTACTGCTGATCCAAAGTATAGTAATCTCAACCCTCCCTCCCACAGTTACGCACCAAACAGTTCCACACTCCAGCATTACTATGGCAGGGCTTCCCAAATATGTCATGAGAGGACAAACAGGATAGTTCTCAGGCATCAGAAGGCCACTGTACAGCAGGTATTCACCAACACAAACATTCAAGACAGCTCAGCACCAAAAAAAAAAAAAAAAAAAAAAAGCAGTGCCTTCCACGCTGGCATCAAACTTCTGGGAACCCTGTTTTCCTTTCCCCTTTCCAGAACCCACTCTCTGTTGGCCCTTCAGAGACTGGCTCCGTCTTCAGTGAGCACCCGGACCTGACAGAACCACCAAACTACCTCTTCAAATTTAAGACAGATATATGTTGGTGAACACCTGGGAAGGTCTCCTTTTAATAAAGCCCACTGGTCTCCTAGCCTCCCTGCAGGCTTGGAAAATGCTTCTAAGAAAACACAGTGAGAACGTGAGCACGCTTGTACAAAGTGTGGACATTTAGGCAGGTGGTGGGTGAGATCAGTGTGGAGCAAGGGGCAAGTGTGGGGGGGAACTAAATGCTGCTATGCCCTGAAGTACACAGCAGATGGGGAAGTTCTGAGTTCTCCTCTCAGTGCTGAACTTTCCTCAGAGCCCCAGGCCTGATTCTTCAGAAGGTGGAAGAAGGAAAGGGTTCATCTGTTATGCAGACAAGTTTTCTTTACTGTACAGGCCTGGTGGAGCTGTGCAGTGGTCTACATACAGGTTTGTGCAGAGAATGCAGGAGGTACTAACAAATGTTCCTGTAGTTCCACTACTCCAATGCTAAAGCTGCCAGACAAAGCCTTAATAGAAGTTGTATCCAAAACATTTTTTTGCTGCATGTCATAGACTGTTCTGGCCCTGTTGGCACTGGTGTGTCACTTAGTAATGCCTCATGCACCAGACTAGACTTACTCAGAGATCTAGCTTGCGTAAATGGCAATAATCCTTTCCTCACTTCTAACTCCTGTCCTAACTAAGCATAAAACAGACACATGGCTGCAAAATGCTCCTGCCCTTACAAGTGGATTGTTTCACCTGAAAAAGTAAACTTCTAAGCATAACAAACAAGGGAAAGTAAATACAGGTTTCTCAGACAAGAGCAGGAATATCTCACATTAACATATTGTTACGTGCACATCTGGATGGTTCTTACAGCAACTAAAATGAACAATGTTCTAAGTCAGTAAATAAAATGACCCCAAAAATATTTAAAACAGCAAGAAAAATGCTGTATTTTCTCTAGCCCTTAAATTTGGCTTGCCTAATTTTACCTTGAAAAGAAACCTACGGCTTGGGAGTAAGCACAGGACACATCATACGAGGAATTCCCAGCAGTGCTGAATGAGATCATGCCTGGGTTTAAAACTGGAAAGTATTTTTAAGGCTCTGTCATCACCCTTCATCCTAACATCAGGCCAAAAATATTTCTCTGACATTAGTATTTCAACACATTGGCAAAAGAGACCCAATTCTTGACTGCTGTAACCATTCAAAAAGCTGAGACACGTTGTTCTTCCTTGCTAGATAAGTGAAACAAAGCTCAAAAAGCCAAGGCAACATAGACACAAGCTGCTAGCATAAATAGGTATTTGTTTTCATTCCTCCAAACTATACCTGGCTACTGGTTCTGGGATGGTCCCTGGGCTAACTGGCACCTGCACTCCCTTTTCCCACTCCTGCCTCCAGGGGTCTGCCAGCACATAGTATTCATCAGGGTTCAGCTGGAAGGAGTCATGTAACTTCATGGCAGTGATCAGGTCCGTTCTGAACACCTGCAAAGAGAGTGACCAAGAGAGAAAAATAGAGACACTGACATTTGATATTTACACTCTATGATTCACAGCTCCAGGGTAACCATGGAGCACAGCGCATAATAAGGTCACTGTATCAAAAGTCAACTAACCCCTCCCACTGCAGGACAGAAGTTGAGCTTTATTGCAGAGAAAGGGGTAGCAAAAGGTGCAAATGACTTCAGCTACTTTCTCTGTGAGTCCTGTGTTCCCCCCCACACTGATGCTGAATGATGCTACCCAACTTGACTGCAATAAAACACCACAGGAGCTTTTAGTCTCAGATCACCAGCATAAGGAAGACTCAATTTTGCTCAAACTACCTCTAAAAAAAAAAAAAAAAAAAAAAAACACAACCAAAAAAAAACAAACAAAAAAACCCACAACTATTGGAGCTCTGACTAATCCAAAGGCATTCTAGAAATTCCCTGCGATAGAAATCAAGGCATGACTCCACCATGACCAGATACAAGAGGAAATTCTACCAAGATGACTCTTGCCTTATTTAAATGACTCTTGCCCCATACACTTGTCAGCATTTAAAGTAACAACCCAAAAGATCAACAAAATAATCCCAGATTTGAATTCTGGTGGTAGCTTGATGTTCACCAGACACGCTTGTTATTCTGTCAGCTACAGATACCTCTGCACCAAAGCTGTCATTTGCCTTAGAGAAAGCATCCACCTCTAAACCTAGCAGTATCTTAGCCAACTTTGGGTCATTTGCAAGCAGTGATAACATCTTCCACGAGCCACAGAGTGAAATCAAAGAGATCCGCTCCTCAGCAGGCATGGTACACCACTGCTGTGGCAGCTTCAGCCCCAGCTAGTTCACCACTGCTTGTGAGCACTTCAGAAAGCAAAGGATGTTATCACAGGAATCAGAACTGCAAGTCTGTACTTGTCTGTCCATCTTCCAGCTCTCCCCACCCTGCTCTCCCTGCAAGACAAGGCTGCAGTCAATGACAGCAACAGCACTCAGCACTCCTTACCTCCACAGCACTGCAAGCTTTTTACTATTAAATGTTGCATTCAAAGGAAAGGATTTAAAAGCAACCAAGTGACCAAAAATGAGCACCGTGGGGACAAGAAGACAGTAAACATCTATCCAGCCCCACGCTGCACAGTTTTAAAAGGAAAGTACTCCTGGACTCTCTTATGGGACTGCTAACAGAGCAAAGTGACAACCTCCTGGGCCTCCAACCAGTCCCAAACTAATAGTGGTTTTACACTAATTCCAGCCAGCTGCCGGAATGCATATGGCTGCAGAAGTGCCACAGCTACACACCATGCTAATTAGACAGGCCTCCCAAGGACAGCAACTTCTGTCACACACTGGTCACACCCCTGAAATCTCTACAGATTACCTAGTAGGAGAAGTATTTTAGGGGAACAACAAACCTGATGGCTAGTCAGACTTTCAAGACTATTTACAAGTATGATTTGTCTCACAATGCAGCCTATCTCAACACTCTTCTCCTTCCCAATACTCATGTACTCCCCACTTCTCTCTCAGTACATTTCTGCTCTGCCCTTATCATTAAAATAGCAGGAAAATTACATTTTTCTCAGCATTTCTCTTGGCGTGGTCAAAAAGCCTGCCATCCTTAAAAGTGAAGACTAATATTACTGTATGAAATAAGAGGTAAGCACAGGTAACGATGTAAACTGAGTGTTTAAAACACAAGTCCTATGAGGCCGTAAACAAGAAACGAAAAATAATCCACAAAGCTAACAGTCTCACATAACGAGCATGCAGAGCTGGTCAGGGGATCCTGCACTTCAAAGTTATTTGAATAAATGCCATCAAATGAAAGGAAGAGTAAGAAATATAAAATGGGGTGCAAACCTTGCTCAATCCAAGAGGCAAAGCAACTCGAGCTCTCAGATAAACTTCTCACAAAGCTCTCTCAAGAGAGATGCTAACACGGTACTTGACAGCCAAGAATCTCCTTCCCAAGCCAGTGGCCCTGTAACACCATTCTTTCTGCTCTAATTTCTGATGAAATCAGACTGCCTGGAGCAAAGCAGAGCTCACTGGAGCGCTTGGCCCTCAGCAGCACAGAACACTTCAAAGCTGAAGGGTGAAATTCTGACCATACTGAAGTCAATGGGAATTTTGCTGTCAACTTCAGTGAGACCACGATTTCACCCAGGGAGTTTAGCAAGCACCACCTTTCTGCCAGCACACTTACCATTAAAATAGTGTGCTATGGCAAAGCAGGGGAAGAGAAGGTGAGACGGCTGTGAAACTGAGCTAATATATGAAAAAGTATATGAAGGAAGTATATGGAAGTCCATCCAGACTAAGAGAAAACAGCACAAAACTGGAAAGATAATGACAAGAAACACAAGGAAAGGGAGAGGAGAAACAGGATTACAGGCACACAAAAACAACAGCAAGATCTCTGGTTATCTGAAACTATTTCTTCATAGTGTTTCATGGATTAGTTCTCAAAAATGAGTCTAAGTTTATGTACAAAAGATAATTAAGGAAAGCAAACCAACTGACGGCTCTGGTGAATTTCCAGAGCTCTGCACATTCACAAAAATAAAGAAGCTGTTAACAGTCAGCAATAAAAAAATAAAAATGAAAGAAAAATCAAATCAAAGTCCAAATAAAATGAAGATCAAAAGCCAAGTAGCACAACAAGGAATGAAGGAGATTCTTCCTTTGAAATCTCTTCTCCTGGATTTTGCTAGAGTATTGCAGGGAGATTAACAGAGCATGTTTCTTTACACCAAACACTTGCTAATCAATCAAAAATACTTGTTATCAGGCAAGTAAGTTGAATCGAGAAATCCTGTCTCCTAAATCTAATGCTTTCTTCGCAGCCTCTGCAGAGTTTGCAATGCAGTATTAGCGTGAAGATAGGGAGATACATAATGAATTGGATCCCATTTACGTGTTACTAACAGTTGATCTATCCAAGGAAACTCAAAACCATTTTTATCTCCCTTGATCCGACTTCTTAAAAGCACAATGGAAGACAAAACCATCAGGAAGCAGATTTGACAAGCACATTAACAACGACCACATATCAAGACCCAGTACAATCTATAAAATAAGCGCACCTAAGATAAAGTTTCACTGGCAATTCTGATGCCCAAAACACTAGAGTACTCTACAGCTATGTTGAACGGATGTCAGACTATGTCAAAATCCTCTGACAGGCACTGGTGCTGGCAGCTGAGCTCTGTCATCTCCTGACCAGAAATAAAAAGGCAAAGGAGGGGGCACTAAGTGCCAGTTGAAATGGAGCAGCAAGAAAATAAAGCACAATTCAGAAGACACGGATACATGCCCAGAACACACATGCACTTTTTATTTGGTAGGTGCAACAAAATGGCAATCATATTCCAGAAATACCTCAGAAGGTTTTCTATCTTCTTGTCTGGAACATGAAGACCTCCGACGGTGAGATCTGGAATGCTGGGACCAGGTGGACAGACCTAGAATACAGAAAAGATCATTTGCAGCTTCCTTGCTCTCAGCACACCCAACTAGGCCTATTTACTCCAGTACGATCATACGAGTAAGGTAAACCAGAGCTGGGCTTCTAGAGCAAACCTGAAAAAGACTCTTTCAAAATGAACCAGAAAATAGAAGCTATTCAGTCTTCAACTTCTGTTGTGGCTTCTCTGTTATCCTATCTCTAATGACATATGCATTGGCTGCACTGCACTTACAGCCTTCCACCCAGCATTTGAACACAGCCATCTTGTACCATGCTTGCTTCTGAACATCAATAATGCACTTTCTGCAGGCTAATAGTATCTAATGAGGTGTCTGTTCATAGCCTGAGATGTAATCTTTGAGTTCAATGTATTCACATTCTCATTACCTATACTGGTTATCCAGTTCTACCTAGAGCAAGGCTTTTCAAAATAGAAATTGACATGCCAGGTCAGTGCAGCCACCAAAAACATGCTGCTCTCCTTCTCAGCCAGGGTGGTTGGACAATTTTTGTCTGCGGAATCATTATGTTCCAAACAAATTATACCTTTTTGCCTTGAAATTCTGTGACACAGACTCTGTCAGCTTTCACAAATACTGCAACAGGAGGAAAGGAAAAAGAGAAAGGAAGAAACTACACTCCATTGACAAAGTAGACACCAGAGTGTATTTGTAACTGCGAAAATCAACTCATTTTAAATTTAGCAAGATTTATAGGTACAGAAGGTATTTTCCACTGCCAATTACACAGCAGTAGCAAAAAAAAAAAAAAAAAAGAAAAAAAAAGTGTCAATAAATTCTTATTAGGTAAGGAAATTAAGGACTTGTAACAATGCCTGTGATGAGTGGGAAGCCAGGAACTACCAGGGGAACTCTAAAGGCTGAACTTGGCAACTCTGGGTATTAATAGCAGACAAACAAAGCAGGATCAATTCAAAAACCTTCCTACACTGCTCATCTCTTCTCTGCCTGTGCACAGAAACACTATGAGTAGGAGGTTAAGTTTGCAGATCATAAAAGCAACAATCACATCACCCTGCAGAATCCTCTCCTGGATCAGACAGACCTCTTCAAAAGATGCACTGCTCAGGATGGGATAAGCTCTCTCCCCAAGACTTTCACTTGAAAGACACCATGAAGTCATCAGAAGAATTCATGACGTTGTAGCTGCACTTTTGTCATCCCTGTTCAGTTAGTAATACATTAAAGGATCTGCCCCATTAAAATCCACTCCAAAACTGAGCAGTGAATAACACCTGTTTCACAGAATTTGCATAATGGTCAAAACCGAATCAGCAACCCGCTACAAAAACTTCTTTTCTGAGGTCAGAACACACCCACAAAAATTTGTTTAGACAAACATTAGTGTTTCAATACAAAGGCTGATGATTTGAAAGATTTCTGAATTGCTGCCATCACTTTTCCTAAGTGCCTGTGTTTCACAGTTATTAAAAAAATACAGAAGCTTCAGCACTGTGATTCCCAGGAAATGCACACATCTCTTTCATGCCACATAGAAACTGCAATGGTGAGAAGTCAAATAACGGCTATGTAAGTGCTATTTCTATTTCTTTACTGGGTCATCTGATGACAGACATCAAAACAGAGTCTTAAATGTCTATTTCTGATTTTGGACCCAATACACGTGGGCTAGAGCACTGCATTAATTAACTATTGGATGCAATGTGAAGAGTCAAATGTTACCACTTCTGAAGTTACAGAACTTTTGTGTGTTTTTTTTTTGTTTGTTTGTTGTTGCTGTTGTGTTTCTTTTTCAAGAGCTCCATGAAAGCACACTATGCAAAACCTCCATATGTAAAGGACATATGGAGGTGAGTCTACTCTTTACAAGGGTAGATAACCACAGGTCAAGGGGAAATGGTTTTCAGTTGAAGGAGGGAAGATTTAGGTTGGATACCAGGGGGAAGTTCTTTACCAAGAGAGTGATGAGGTGCTGGAACAGGCTGCCCAGAAAGGTTGTGGATGCCCCATCCCTGGAGGTGTTTAAGGCCAGCATGGATGGGGCCCTGGGCAGCCCGGTCTGGTATTAAACGGGGAGACTTGTGGCCCTGCCTGTGGCAGGGGGGGGTGGAAGTTCATGATCCTTGAGGTCCTTTCCAACCCAAGTCATTCTACGATTCTGTGAAGGGACAACTCGAACACAGCCAGGCTTCCTCAGGAATTTATTATACTGAGTAGCTTATCCACCTCGATAACTTCCTACACTGATAAAGGAAAGAAAGTGGGTTTTTGTTTTGTTTTGTTTTTTATACAGTTCTGCAATAGCTGTTTCCTTGAACATAACACTGGTGAATGCACAGTGAAAACGTGGTATTTTAGTGACTTACTAAAGGGACTGTTGTATTTTCTGAGCAGTGTAAACTGACCATACATAATACTACGAGGAAAAGGTGGAGGAATTTCTCATGGGACTCAAATTTTACTACTGGCTGAGCCCTGTAACCGTAGCTAACAGGTAACCTTTGGCAAGAGCTTCACTTCAATAGGGAAAACATCTACTCACTGAATAAACAAAGCCCAACTATAAGGCACGCATTCACAGATTCATATAACTACCATCGGACAAAAAAGCACACGAAATTACAGGAGTCAGTCAAATCACAGAAAAATATTCAGTCTGTGACAGTATGAAATTTAACTACTTACAGAATCTTGAAGAAAAGCCTCAGCTCTGCTTCTGCTGCACTTAAAGCAAAATATCAATGCCCTTCACAATGCCAAGACACAACACTGAACTACCCAAAGCTGCTTCCATCAAAGAGCAACGCACCCGCTCCAATCAACAGAAGTGCAGGAGGAAAATGGAGGATGTGGTTTGACTTTGCAGCGTTATGTCCATATTTTGTTAAATAACCCAGAAGAGGGACCTCAGTGAAAGGCAAAGTTAACAGGCAATTACCGCTACTTCAGTGATTAATGATCTGATATTTGTGCCTACGTACATGAAGTAAGAACCATTCCTGGATTATATGGAAGGAGCAATTCGCTGTGGTCAAAACACAGGATTCAGAACAGCTCTTCTGTACTACAAAAGCACATTAACTTAATTGAGTATTTTAGAAAGATTCCAGACACTTTTCAGCAAGTTTATCCTCAAACAGTCAATAAAAAGAAATGACTATTATTCAGCAGCAGCTTTCTGAACTCTAGGATCACCAAGGCTAGAAAAACCTCTAAGGCTCAAGACAGAATTAAACCCTGTTCTAGAAAAATAACAAAACAACAGCAGAAACCATAGAAGTCTGAACTGCTGGAAGTTTGAAGATGTAAAACCTTGGTAAGGTAACAGAATACCTCACGGGGAAAATGAGTTCTATAGCAGATGGAAGATTAATGAGATGTTAGAGAGAACCAACACCACCAAATGCTGCGTGAGTAACAGTGAATATGGAAAACAGTCAACCACAAAGCGCGGAGCTAAATAAACATACCTGAACGATGCAGTGCTATCATCATAAGAAATTAAGCACAAAAGGTCTCTTATTAAGTGCCTATCCTTTCACACGATTGGGAAAGTTAAGGATGAACACAGTAGCCTAGCTGGAATCACTGCTCTAGGAAATACCAAGCTCATCTCGGTTCTTTTAATTAAGATCTCTTCAGATGGGTTAGGTGTTCATCACCAAGAATAAAGAGGTGAGGCTTACATCTCTAAACATAACTCGGTTTTCCCATCACTTTTATCCACTTAAAGACAAAGAAACTCCCAAACCCTAAAACAACTTAATGAGATGCAACTCACAGCAATAGAGGCAAAGCTCTAACACACTGATGGTACTAGGAAGGAGACTTCCAGGGTATTATAAAAACAGAGTAAGCCATATATAATACCGCTACAGGGTGTATAAAACACATGCACCTCCTGACAGTAAAAAAAAAAAAGCAATCAAGGACTGTGAATCCTTCCTAAGCATTTGTGAAGAGCACACATTTCCCAAAAGGGAAAATAAAATAAAATAAAATAATAAAAAAAAGACATCAATTCTAACTATCAATTTGCTAAATGATCTGTCAAAAACCTTTTGAGTCTAAGAAAGGCCATCAAACCAGAAAATTCATTTGAACTAATAAAACAATTCTAACACCCTCAGGGAATTCTACCCCACAACTAATACGCTACTCAGCATGAGCAGAAAAGGCTTAGCTATTACGTATCATGCACAAGGCTGTTGTACAGCCACCTGCAAAGCACCCAGCTGTGCCCCTGCGGAATTACCTGCCGCTGCAGCTTCTGAACACTTCAAAGACTCAGATCACCCTGCGTCTGAAAGCACTTCTCTCACTGTAAATACAATCCTGCTCCATCATTACACCACGCAGCGCAAAAGAGCAAAACACCTCTGGCATGGATGCATGTCTGGCTGTCACTTCTGCTCAACACTGGCATTTCCAGATCCCTATATCCCTTCTCAGCTCTCTGAGACAAAGTAGGTGCTGCTGCCAACTGTCAGACAGAGCTGCAGTCTGAAGAGAAAATATAGATGCTCACAGTCTTCTCATTTAGTGCCTGGCCCACAACTGCTTACAAGAAGGCTTCATATCATTTAGACATAACTCTGCATGTCTAGATCAGAATTCCAGCACAAAGAAAATGCAAACAGATTGACAGCAGTTTTCCATTATGCTGGGTATAGGAAGAGCTGTCTGCACACTTATCTTCAGATCTTATCACTGAGAATGCAGAACATACACAAACAGAGCCTAAGAGTACATTTTATAAAGCCAAATTCTCCTTCTCATGATTCTCTTGCTAGAGCACTTGTCCTTATCTTTGTAGATAATAGTATACTATTATGCAATAATCTCATTCAAGATCAAATGAGGAAAAGCAACTGCCTTTCACTTGTCAATACTGACACTACTGAAAAAAATAACGTTATTTCACAGCTATCCAATTGCAGGTGCTGACTGTTGCGTGGATCCATACGATCTCTGCAGCTTTACAACACTGATGCTCAATTGCTCAGTACCCGATGCATGCAGCGAGCAGCCTCTGCACACTGCCACAGCAGTTCAATACAAGCTGCCTTCTGTCATCACTTTTCTCAGTGGCACACATTTGAGTTTTATAATCTGAAAGAACAAGAGACCACAGAGAGACATATCACCATTCCAACAGTCCATCTTACTCTTTTTTAAATCACTGGACCTAAGTGCCATTTTAGCACCTCAGCCCAAGGCTCCCCATTACAGCGTTGTTCTACCATTGGTGTGTATGAACTTTTATTGTCAATTTCACTACAGATAACTGAAGCCAATTTCAGCATCTCTCAAGGTAGCTTTACAGGCTGACAATGTTATGTTGTTGAGACTTATAATCCAAGTGCAGTTCGGTACACTCAGTACTAGCAGTTTTGTAAAGAAACACGTGCCTCTCCAAAGCCTACGATGATCAGGATATGTAAGTCCCCTCCTCAGATACAATAGGTGTTCTGTGATTCTGAATAGCCTATCAAACCAGGTAAAGCTTTCCAATCAAAGTGCAACTTCATCACTAAGCATCTATCCCAGCAAGCCTAGTCATGAACTAAGCAGTAAGTTCTGACCCTCTGTCATCACTCCAAAAGCCACACCTTCTACACTGCTCTGTTCAAATCTTAGTGCTACAACTGCCTTACACCCATTGTTTAAACACCATCCCTCATCCAGCAATTCATTCAACTGAAAAACAAGGAATGTTGTGTTTGCTTCCAAAGTGCTGCACAGCATTACCTGCACTGTTAAGTAACTGCCACACAAAAACGACGCATGCACCTAAGGTTACGTTTTCAGCAGTGCTTGTGATGGCACTTTGGGATCCATCCCAAACAACACAAGTCCAGGGGGTGAAAAGCCCTTTCTTACCAAAGATTCCAGTCACTGAGTTAAAGCAATGGATATAGGCAAGATGTTTGCAATTAAAATAATATTAGTTTAGCAATGACAGCATGAGGGTACATCTAACTCACACACCTATATTTCATAATCCTTAAATATTAAATCTTTCATTTCTCAGAAGTGACGTGACTGACATGTTACAAAGCCTAGAAGTACTTTCCATCTGCAAGCCTCTTCAGTCCTTCTTTCAGACATCTATTACAGTTGCTGCAATACATTACCTGGAAAGGGACAAAAACTAAGAAGTTGCCAGATGTAAATAAATGACATCAAAAAAATCTTAAATCCTTCCCCAAGCATCTCCCAAAACTATTCCTCTTGTTTGTACTCAGGCAAAAAGTACAAAATCCTGAAGTATGTCTGGAGCCATTTTTTGTTCAATTCTATTCCATGGGTAAGATGTTCAAATGTGACCTATAATTTCAGAAAATGGAATCTCCGAGAACACACTGAGATATCCAGGGACTGACTGCAGCACCGAGGTGCACAACTCTGACATCTTTTGCGCAGTGCTTCAAATACGCTATTTTGGTCTTGTGTCTAAATGTAGATGTCAGATTTTAAGGGGACACAGCTCAACAACGCGCAGCACAACTTAGACTGAGGGATGTAAGCTATACACTTCTGTTGGCCTTTGGTTTACCCTTAACATATAGGAAAGAATCAAGTCAGAGGACAAAAAGAAGTGGTAAGGAGAAAAGCAGGGCTCTTAAGCTTCAAGGTTTTAAAATACTGTAAATAATATTCATTCCCTCTCTTTCTGCCCCCCACTGAAATATGTAAGAAAAAAAATGCATATACTCCAGAACTGCAGCCATGCTAGTAAACTTGTTTCTGTTTTGATAATATTTTACTTCTAAACAGTAACAATTCACTCTTCTTTCATCTTACAGAAGTAGAACAACCTTTTCTTCCTCTGAAGAACTACAGATGTGCTTAAATCTTCAGTGTAATACGTTCTTAGAGCTTGGGGTTTGAGGTTTCTTTTCAGATCACCTTGTAGTCACAAAGCAGAAAACAAGATCTCAGTGTTTATTTACTTTTGTAGATAAACAGCATTATTAGTAGTACAGTTTCTATTACCTTATAAATATTTAGGCTCCTGAGTTCAATTAAAATAAAGTTCATTTCTTCATGTCAAAACATTTTCCTGGCAGCACTATTCCAACCCAAACAAGTATCATTGTGCAGGTTACTCCAGCAATACAACACCAAGCGATGCCTGTAATGAATCCAAGATGCCTGATCTCACAGTCTACTAAAGTACAGTATGAAAAGCCAACTTCAGAACAGAAAAAATCCTATTTCTAGGTGCCAGTCGTCACCTCACAAGATGAGGGAGCGTAGTGAAGAACTTTCAGCCAAGAAACTAGTGAGTTCAATGTGAAGGAGGAACTGGAGGGTCAAGAGGTGCTAATGACTGAAGGGAAACAGACGTTTGGCAACAGGATTCCAACTAAGTGTTGATTAAAACTGCAACTTTTCAATTAGAAGGCAGCTGTTTGAAGAGCTTAGAATAGTCTATTTAATTGTTTTCTATCTGTGGGATCTCTAAGAAAGAAAAATAGCTAGCTTTTGCTATTTATTTGCTATTTAAGGACTTCAAACAAGTAGCCCTGAAATGTTTACCTTTTGACTTTTAGGCAAAACAAAAAAAAATTGCTTACTCTGCATAACACCAATAGCAGCACAGTGCATCAGAAATACTACTGATGAAGTAATAATAGATCTCCATACAGAAATTAACATAGCAAGACTGATCAGTAACTCTACTACAGATGAGCAAAGATTAAACTAAGGTAAAAACCATCAGGCAAGTGCTTTGGAGTTCAAATATGTAAGGACATTATCAAAGCAGAAGTGGAGGAAAAGGACCTGAATGTCAGAAATTGTTCTCATGAAAGCATGAAAGACAAGAAACCTTGGAGATGCTGGCCGTACAATATATATTCTCTTCTGGTCACATTCTTTCTGATTACTAACTTAACTTTTCCCACATGTGTATAGTAATAGAACGAACATAAATGAACCTGTATCTGAAATTTTCCCAGTAAAATTTGCCTCAATAAAAGGACAAACAACAGCATTAGGCAAAGAAAAAAGGAAGAGTAATGAAACAGAACTGCTGTGTTATTTGATATATTACTTCTGACAATACTTGAAAATACTTCTAAAATTTCACTGTTTTTTGCCATATAATTTATTCAAGAAACAGTTATTCCTATTTAGGATGCTTTTAATTATAAAAGGGCAAGATTTTTCTTTTTCCCTATTTCATTTTCTTAGATCTTGATCTATGGAACAGATAAAAATATAGCTTTGTGGGGGGCTTTTTGGGGTTTCTTTTGTTTGTTTGTTTTTTGGTTTTTTGTTTTTTTTTTTTAGAAAACATAGAGCTGTTGACTTACCCAACTATTCCAGACAGAGCTCTACTTCAGACATTTATATATGTAAAGATATTACAAACAAGTATTATAACCACTAGCAGATCAGTCAGCAATATTTATTGCAGAATTTCAACTCAGAGTATTTACTTCATAGCATATTCGGTGAAGTGTGAAAAACAAGGCACATGAAGGGAGATCAAAGACTAAAAACAGAGTGAAAAATAAAGATTATTATCAAAATGTAATACTATTACATAAAGCTGTCAGAGAGGGAATGAGAATACAGTAGAGCAAAATTCTAATGCTTAACATCACATTTGTTGCTACTTGTCTACTTTACAAGTAGTACTATACGTTTTTTTGGGTGAAGAATACTTCTTTTCTTCATAGAAACATACCAATTTACTTTTTTTGTTTGTTTGTTTTTAATAATCCAAGCTAATATTCTAAGGAAGAAAAACAAATGTCTTCCAAAATGTTCCAACCTCAAGTAGTTCTGCAAAACCAAACTAAATCCCACCCAACTTTAATAGCTAATCCTTATATGGATGAGCTCCTGATCAGCTTGCTACTTCTCACCTCCTTCAATCCTTTTTATCACTCCTTCATTTCAGCTATAGTTTGTGTAGGGTTGGTGTAAGGCACTGATTTGACCCTAAGAGCTGTTTGAGCAGCTCTTCCATGCAGCACAGATGCTTCTTGGAAATGCATGCAGGTGAGGAAGTCACCCGTTTGGGGCCATAGTGCAGGGCTACATCTTCAGACTAAATCCTTCAAAATCACATGGAAAAATCTCCCATCACCTTCTTTTATTTACTCAAAACCAGGTTCAAAATGTGAAGACGTGCACCCAGTAAAGTCAAATTAAAAGCAGGAAAATAGCTCTGACAACTGGATAAGCAGTTCCACAGTCAAATACAATCACCTTGTTTGTTGGGGCAAAGAAAACACCTTGGCACATCTATACATTTCCCAAACTGCCTTTTTTTTTTTTTTTTTTAATTAAATAAATGAAAGATTATAGGCCCCTGGAATCCAAACTTGAGAGAGACCACACAGAGCTCAGTGTTAGTTACATCAATACGGAAATGCTGTTTTTCTGTTTGGTTTTTAAAGAAAAATCGTACATTTGAATCAGTGATGCGTTGAATTCAGATTGTTGAAAGTTATGCATTAAGTAAAATAATCTTCAATGGAAACAAAATATTTTCACGTGCCAACAGTCTTTACTGCTGAAGTCTGCAGCAACATACCTTCCAACTGCATAAAAAAGTATGAGAACATGGAAGCAGACTTAAAATCCTAGTACAATCTTATACCAAATACTGATGTGTGCACAAGGTTAGCACATGTCTCTACCCAAGTTCTGTCCTTGTGTATATTATGCTGATGACAACTGAAGACGCAAAAAGAGAAACAAAGACCAACTTCTCATGCTTTGTCTTATTAATTAACATCAGGCAGTTAATACAGTGGGGGGAATCCCAAACGCACATCCACACGCACTCAGAACAACCAAGTTTAAAACTGGTTCCTCACACGTGTTTCCACCAGGCCAACCAACGCAAAGTGCCTCTGCCACATGAAACACTGTATTAAAAAGCATTTTCCAACTCATAACCTACTGCACTCTACAACAAAGGAGCACTTACTGCCATTGTCGTCAGAATTCTCACTGCTGCTAGGAAGCCGACGTCGTTTCATGATCTCCCCGGGAAACAGCAGGCAGCCTGCAAAGCAACCAGACAGCACTTAACTCAAGATAATAACACGCAGTCATCAGGCTGTGTTTCTGATGGCATCGGAGGATTTACAACACATAAAGGAAAACAAACAACTTTAAGCAGCATCTGAAATACGAGCAGTGAATATCTCCAAGGCACTTAATTGGGTAATTACCCTCTGAGCAGGTGAAAAAAACTGGAGGGTATAATGACAGGTCCACCAACTCTTCCACCCCAAAACAGAAGCATATTTGTTTCTCAGAGATTGAACACCACTAAGAATCTGAGTAAATTAACTCACACTACCCATTCCTGACACTAGATTTGCAATACAGTAACATTTTAACCATCTCAGTAAATATTTACTTTGGCAGATATGCCTTTGGAACAATCTTATTTTTGTGTTAAGTGCTAGATTTGCAACGTCAAAGATTAAAGTCTTCTCCTTGCATAAAAGAAAAAAAAAAACACCAGCATAGCAAGCCAAGCTTCCACAGAAAAACTACACATGGATCATACATGCTCCAGAAGGTACCATCTCTAAGGTCACAGTCAATTCCTCCTGCAGGCACATGTCCACCAGCTTGCCTAAACACTTTTCAGGAATCACACCATCATCTGATAACACTGCCCCTCCAAGCTCCAAAGTTGGTGAATTCTAGTAATAGTGAGCTCAGCTGCACACAAACCAGCGATGGAAAGGCAAACGTTCCTTATGTTTGTATTGGCTACTCACACGGTGCTGGTATTCTGTGTGTACTGCAGAATGGAAGTAAATTCAGGGAAAAAACAAATAGGAAGCTGTGAATAACCAGTCAGCATTGTATGTAAACACTTAATAAAAGGATTAAGTTGAAAAGCAGAAAAAACATGACAAGAAGTGCAGAAAGGCACATCCACTTTAAGCTGAACTGACAAGGACTCCAGATAGAACATCAAATCCCCTGAGCCTTTGCCTGCCATGTATCAATTGTGCTATCAACAAGGTCTGAGTGTTCCGCTAGCAGCAAAGCCCTAGTATGTGCCTTCAGAGCACGGACTTGAAAATCAGATGCTGAAAACACTTCTGCTTCTAGGTGGGTGCAGAAAGCCCAACCTCTTAATCTCCACGTGAGCTGGAATTTCCCAGAAACCTCTCAGCAAAGCTCTTCTCATTGACCACTTCAGGAGATTTGTAACTACTTTACTTTGTTCAATGAGAAATGACTCATGGTAGTAAACTCCAGGAGAACCCTTTCAACTTTGAAGAGTAATTCTCAAAGTGAGGAGAAGAAAGCCTGACACTACTCTCAACTTCCAACCCCCCCTCCCCCCTCCCGAAAAAAAAAAAAAGCATCCAAAACACACAAAAACAAACAAAAACCAGAAATAAATCTTCTCTTCAGAAAGGGATTCACACAGAAATAAGCATTTTTGAGACAGAATTCATCCAATTCATTCCATTCTCTAGGAACACATAAGCAACTGAATCTGAAACTATTTTACACCTACAGTAAATTCCAATTTGCTTTTAGAGCCCAAGCACTGCAAGATTTCCTCCTTTCTGATATTATACTATATTAAATTGAACAGTTGGTGAATATTTCACCAAGATCTGTCATCACCACCGTGTAAAAGTTCACATATAACTTCTGACGGCAGAGAATGAAGAATCATTAATGACAGCCTCTTACAGTGTGTAAAGAATTCAGCCCAGAAGAATAGCAGACCAGAATTTTCTATCTATGACAAGCAGAAAGGTCACCAATGAAAAAACACACACACCAGCACAGAACATCACAATCCTCTGAAGGGATCTGGTATAAATGGACCATTCCAGAGCCAAGTACTCATACGGTTACTTATGAAATACCGGAAAGCAACAACTCAGATCCAAACTGGGCTAAGACAGAACTAGCTGCTATCAGGCCAGAACCCAGCTTCTCAACGCACTTTTTCTAACATACTTTTCTTGTAACTGAAACAAGTGTGAATACCACCAAACTAAAAGAGCATATTCCATTAGTATGGAAATATCTCCTGTAAACTAAATAAAAGGGATATGGAATAAAGTAAAAAATACCTAGACTGTCTCATAAATGCTACTTATATATTCCTGGCCAAAATCCTCACTTCTTGTTTCTTTTCAACATGGTCTGAAAAGTAAGCAATCTAAAGCAAAGTAACACTGCATATACACACAGAGGAAACATTCACAGCCTTGGGATGAACAAGGAAATCCAAAATTCTGCTCCCTGCATCTCTTTGGACAAGTATATTCTGAGTTCATCTTCTCCTAACCATACTTAGCAAATACATGAAATAAGGAACATCCAGAAGCTTTTCCTTTCTACTGTGTATCTTTTTAAAAAAATAAAAAAAAATACAGCAAACGATGCTGCTTTTTTTTTCCCTGACTGCTATTTAAAGGAGCAAATGGTATTCACACCCTCCCTGTCAAGCCCTCAGGATTAGCTAGCTATTCTCCAGTAGTCAGATGAGCCAGCACAGCAGCCACTTCTCTGGAGTACACTGTTCAATAAGGCAGTTCATTTACCCATCCACTCTAAGGCAGGTTTCTAAAGACAGCTGTATTGAAAAGCCTACATCCCCAAATATAACATTAAAAGGAAATGCACGATTCAATGAAGTTTGTGTGAGATTCTTTTACAGATGCATACAAAAGGAGAGTTGGAATCCGTAGATCATCCTTCCCTACCTTTGAACTTCACTGCGTTTTCAGGGAGCTACATTGCTGACAGAAAAGCAGCACTTGGCTGCCCTAAGCAACTGTTAAACCCCCCACGATTAACCCCTAGATGTTCTGTCGTTAAAAGAAATAAAGCATTTTTTGACTTCTAAAATAACTTCAGACTGTTCCTTTTAAACATCGTGCACCAGATGCTCAAGCCCATAGCCCAGAATACACCATCTGCAGCTAACAAGAATAACCCACGCAGACGGAAATGCCGCTTCTCCTGCGGTACCACACACAGTCCCTCTGCCCCAAACACCACAGGCTGCGGGCAGCTAACAGGGACCTCCCAGTCACACAAGAAGTGCAGCAAGGCTAACCACAGACTGCTGCTGCTGAGGTGCAGATTGATGGTACAGGCTTTCCCTGTTCAGCCACATGCACACAGTTTGCACTCTGAGAGGACACTGGAAATGCATGTCACTTTGGAAAGGAAGACTATCCTACATCATTCTTTGCGGGATATCTGCAACTAAAAGTAAGGAGAGGTTTTTATATTTTAGAAGGCAGAATGTCAGGCTTTCCACTAAAACTGCTCACCTCTTTCTCCTTCCCAGCCTGGGATGTCAGTGCTACCTTTATCTGAAATTCTCCTTCCGATCATGAAGGCTGACTGGATTTTGACATACAATCAATGTATTCAGGTGCAAATATAATGCATGTAACTCACCCCTGATCTCATTAAAACATGTATCTGAAACAGAAGTAAGCCTGGCAATTCCAACCGGTGGGCTCACCAAGACTGTGGCACAACGGTACAAGCTGGCTACAAGCATGTATGTAAACAAAGCAAATTCACATGTAAGCACAATACCAATAAAAGGGCAACACATATAAACCAACCTTTAAGACTCATACCAATAAGAAGTAAAAATGATGCAATGAGACAGAAGGAAACCACCCAGGTTACTGAGCTCAATTCCCAGCAACTCAAGACAACCGCATAATTGCTGAACGGTCGTGGAGTTCCCACAAAGCACTCAGTGTGTCACACATGCCACAGAACCACTTCCCACTGCCTTCACAAGACGAGTGCGTCTCTGAAGCGGCCAACCAAGCAGTGCCCCATGACTCCTCATCGACTGCCATTACTCCCAAACGCATACAGCAGCCTGAAAAGGGCACTTGCCCATATACTGTTTAACTGTAGAGTAAGCCCAGTGCTCAAGAGCTACAAAGTCCTGCAGCCCAAACACAACGAAGGCTGCCCATCACCCATGCATCAGGCAATCCCTGAGCTTCCTGTTATACCCTGGTCTAACTAAAACTCTGGTGGTACACGCAATAGCACCTGTCCTAAGTTTCACAAAAGCAACTGGATGCTTGCTGCCATTCCAAGTAACAGAGAAGCGCTCAGGTTTTGCCGATTCTACCTTCACCTCTTATCCTGCCATAACAAGGGAGCACTCCTGGCACAGCTTACAGCAGTGCTTACACAAGTGCAACAACGTGAGGTTTTGACTTGTTCACAAAGCTGGTTACGATACAGATAAGAATCTTACTGAATTCTGCATAACAGTTCAGCTTCACTTCTTAGAAGGACCCTTGCTTCTCCACTTCAAAGCCACGGTTTCAGAAATCAAGCAATGTGGCTGACAGGCAGCCTGCAGTGGGCTCTGCAGTACCCCCCACCTGAGGCATGATGCTCCAGAGATGACACCAGCAGCTTTATCCCCCCATGTCATCACACTAGGTCTGAAAGCCAAGCTCTGGGCTTTACTTGTTGACTGGGCAAACAGCAAACACACAAATCTAACCTTGGAGTTAACACTGCAGAATTGATACTGTGATCATCTTAAAGACAAGATTACGCTGCCTGAAATATTTCTTCTGCCTACTTCACTTTGGAGAGAGCCTCTACATCACAACACTTGTAAAAGGCAGTACGAATGGAATGACGAAATGATAATGCAGAATCAATGTCAAACACACAGTGGATCTACATGTTCTAGCAGAGCTGAGCCATGAACATCTCACCCTACACACCAACAAGCTGTCGCTAAGAACACAGCCATTTCTGCTGACTCTTCACAGGGAGCACAGCAACACGACCCAGCACAGAGCACTGCAGCATCACAGCACTGCTCATTTCCTACCTCTACAGCAGATTGATTTGAAACAACTGACAAACAACAGAAGCTGCACAGCAATACCAAAACCCTTTTTTTTTTTTTTTTTTTTTAGACACACTGAAAGTTGCAAAGACACAAAATCCAAATTCTTTACTCTAGCTTCCTCAGAGCAGAAATCCAGGCACTATGCCATAAAAACT